ACTCAATCTAAAATAAACACTAACCTTATCGACCTCCCACCATGCAGGATAAAGTTTAGCTTGTCCATTGCCCAACGCAAATGATTCATCTCGTTGATTCTTCAAGTGAACGGCGTTAAAAGACGTCGGCATAATTGTATATCGTGTATTTCTTTTATTTTCCTTAAGTTTCCTAATTATTAGAAGACGTGACACCCACGCATCGATATGCTGTTTTACAAAAAAAGACATATATTAGTAACTTACATAAATTTACAAAAAAAATAATCAAATTAAAATATAAGAAAAATATAAGACTTACCCCTCCATCGAAATAGCCATTGTCTTCGACCCCTAATAATACGCCCCACCAAGACCGATCAAGCAACAAATAGATATCATCATTGAGCTTGCATATGTCAGTGAAACACCCCTGGCTTCGCTCATGTAGATAAAAATCAACTGCGGTCTTAGCCCAAAGGGTGTTATCCAGAATTGTGTCCGGTAGTTGTTCCCTCTCCACTTCAGATACCGATATGGTACTGGCCGGTAACTCATACGAGAGCCAACTTGAATCCATCATGTCCGACACATCAGAGGGTTTCTCAAGAATCCTACATATGACGCCATGTGAATCGGGCTCTTGAATGATGGGAGGGACCTCTTCAACGATGATAGTGGCCTCTTGAACGGTGGGAGGGGACTCTCGAGGAATGATAGGGGCCTCTTCAATGATAGGAGTGGACTCTTGAGGGATGACAGTGGCCTCTTGAACGGTGGGAGGGGACTCTCGAGGAATGATAGGGGCCTCTTCAACGATAGGAGTGGACTCTTGAGGGATGACAGGCGAGTCGGGCTTCTTCTTGCGGTGTCTTCGCACTATTGGGGTATACGGAGACTTAATAGCACGTGCACGCCGTCTGATGCGTGAACTCTGTCGTGCGAGAAAAACCCGACGTAAAGCATCCACCTTATTGGTCCGCTAAATAATTAAATACAAATATCAGTAAATAAACGGACATGATATTTAAACAGTGAAAACAAAGACAAATATATTTCAAAACTTCAACCAAAAGATAAAACAAAGACAAATACTAACTTCACAGTGTTAAAGAATACACAGTTTAGCAGAATTGGCAGCAACCGAATAAATTTACTTCAACCAAAAGACAAAACAAAAAGACAAATACTAACTTCACAGTGTTAATAAACAGTTTAGCAGTATTGGCAGCAACCGAATAAATTTACTAAGCAATCTAAGTGAAATGGTTAATTTAAGTGAAATTACGAGTAAATTTATCATCAAGTTAAATATGGAAAATCTTAAACTTACCTCGTTGCGTAGAGTATGAACCTCATTCTGCAACGATACTACCATCTCACTTAGAGCGGCAACCTCACCACGTAAAGTAGACACCTCCACACGCCATGCACCATCGTTATCGCGTTGAGTACCGATCTCCTCACGCAAGGCATTGACCTCCACACGCCATGCACCATCGTTATCGCGTAGAGTACCGATCTCCTCACGCAAGGCATTGACCTCATCACGTAACTCCCTTGACTCATCCCGTAGAGGTGGAGAACAGGGAGATAGAAGTCGTGGCATCTTTGTCGGTCGCCTATCATGAGGTGATGGTGGAGAAGAGGCTCGATGATGTGACGGGATAGGTGATGGCTCTCGTTGTAGAGGTGTATAGTCGGGTCGATCAGGTGATGGCTCTGGGTGAGGTGATGGCTCTCGAAGTGGAGGAAGTGGAGGCTGCTCATCATTCGTGCCATCAAGAAAACGCTGACTAGCTTGCCACCAATCAGTGGCAAGCTCAGCCTCCGTGGGTGTCAGTCTCATTAATGGAATGTTGGCCTCCTAAAAATATAAAAACTCAAACAAAGTTAAACGTCTACTATTAATAACTTGTTTATATATGATAGTATTTGTGTTAACTTACATTATTTATTGTCGCATATGGTATTAAGTCTTCCCAATCCAACAGACGTTTCCTCTTCCAGGAAATAGCCCTGGGAATATCATTTGAAGTTTTTATTGCATATGTCTTCATGGCGGGAAAGGCCTCGAATATCCAAATCTACAAACAATATAATAACAAACATTAATAATTGTTAAATAATTAATTATAATTTTGAAAACATTATATAGAAATTCTTACCTTAAAGGCCCAAACAAAGCCTGACAAAGTGTATTTCGACCCATCGCCCCGCAAACTTTTGCGGTCATCAAAAGCAGACGACAACTTAGTCCAGGTAGCTTTCCATATATACGAACCCCACGGAAACAGATTCCATGCATTTAGGTCCTCTACCAATAATATTAGCTCCTGAGGAATAGGTTGTCTGGCCTCTCTGCCTAAAAAGCCGGCATACAAAAGTAGTAGAAGGCATACTCGGACAACATCGACGTCATTCATCCGAGTAAAACCATCTTTCTTATTAAACAATTTCTTCATGTCGTCGACGTGTAAGTTCAGCTTCTCTATTGACTCATCAGGAAAAACCCTGGATAACCATGATGGGCGGGTGATATGACGAGTGTACCGGCCTACATCATCGTGTCCGAATCGTAGACCAGTGATTAAGCAGAACTCCTTCCGCCCAAAACAAGTATACGCCGGTGGAAAATGAAACCATATCTCTTCCTCACCACGTTGTATACTATCGGGTAGATCTCTAGTCATGGTCTGAAGCCACAAATGGGTCAAATTAGCATCTCCACCCGGATGTTGTACTCTCAGCCATGGCCCGAAGCAGGTTTCCTCAAACAATTTTCTTTGTGCAGGTGAAAGCTTCGAAGCAATTGTAGTGGCTAGGCTAACTTTATTCCTTAATGTCAATGAAGCCGAAAAAAATTTCTACAAAAACAATAAACATACCAAGTTAGATATACCAAAAACTACACTGTCAAGATATACCAAAAACAATAAACATAAATAGTAGTTTATTCTTGAAACTAAAATTTGCAACACTGTTTTGTCTTTTGGTTGAAATGAAAATCGCAACGAGATAATGAGAATCGCAACGCGAAATGACTATCGCAACGAGAGAATCGCAACGCGAAATGAAAATCGCAATGCGATTTTGGTTTCGCGTTGCGTTTTTTATTTCGTGTTGCGATAGTTATTTCCGCGTTGCGATTTTCATTCTCGAAACTATTCTTCTTCTGCATTACTTCAACCAAAAGACAAAACAAAGACAAATACTAACTTCACAGGCTAAACAGTTTAGCAGTATTGGCAGCAATCGAATGAATTTAATAAGAAATCTAAGTGAAATGGTTAATCTATTATTGAAATTACCAGTAAACTTATCATCAATCTCAATATGAAAAACCTAAAATAATGCAAAAATTTCAAAATAAAAATAAAAAAAACTAACCCTCAGAGGTTGATTTTCCATTTCTGAATGATTGTGAGGGATTTTTGACTATGAATGGTTGTGAGGGATTTCGCCGGCGATGGGGACGAAAATCTTCGGAGATGGGGACAGATTTCGCCGTAGAGAGTGAGAGATGGAGATGGGACTGAGTGTTGTGATTTTGGGTTTGAGGTTATGAGTTGCGATTACTGTGGACGGTTCAGTTTCCGATTTATTAAGAAAAAATTCGTGTTTGAAATTTAAAAAAAAAAATACGCGTTAATACGAATGACGCTATGTAAATCGCGTTGCGAAAGTCAGAATCGCGTTGCAAAAGTCAGTATCTCGTTGCGATTTTGTATTATCGCATTGCGATAGTAAGTATCGCATTGCGATAGTCAGTATCGCATTGCGATTTTCCCAATTCGCGTTGCGATTTACTTATTCGCATTGCGAATTGGGAAAATCGCAACGACCTTGTAGACCATCGCAACGCGATTTTCAACTATCGCAACGCGAATTTGCGATAATGGAGATCGCGTTGCGAATTAGCGATCGCATTGCGATTTTGTTGGTCATTTTGGCAAATCCGAAAAAAGTTGGTTAAAATCGTATATTATAAGGCATTTTTGGTCACTGAGGCGATTTTCTCAATAAATAATATATAAATGATCTTCTTCATCTAGGTGCTCTTTCTCTCGTATTTATTTTATCTTTCCCCTTATTAAAACATTTATTTTGCATCACTAAAAATAAATGAGAGATTAAAGAAGAACGGTTAATAATTTTCAACTTAAATCGAAATGAATAAATCACAAAATGTTATTTAATTTTTTTATGTTTACAATCTATTAAATCACCCTGAATCATTATATCAACAAAAAATAGTAATGAATTTCTTAACACACTAGAGGAAATAGTGAGAAGAAAAACACCAACAAAATGTCATTATAAAAAATAGACCTTATTGAAGTGAGAAGAATATTGTTATTTTACAGAATAATGAATTTCTTAAGAAATAATAGATCTATTAATATGTTTTAAGATAAACATACCTATATTAACAATATAAATTTTATATATAAATATACATATATAAAATTTCGATATGAACATATTTAATAAATAAAATTTAAGATTATTATTTATTTACTCTATCATCCGCCACTATTTAGAGGTAATAGATTATAACTTGGGTTTGGCCCATGACAATCATTCCAAGACGACGCTAGAATCAGAGACGCCTACTATACTTGAGACATCTAGCCTTCTAATTATTGTACCTAAGACTTCTAATTATTGTACCTAAGGCTGTCTTTTGCTCCGTACAGTCTTTATAAGTACGTACTGCGAAAGTCCCAAAAAAAAAAAAATCTTTTTTTGATAATATTTTAGCTTTAAATTTAAGTTATATCGCAGAACTACCCGTAAGTAATCCACCGGATGTCTATATATCTTTAAACATCAGTTTTGATGAATAAAATTCGCTCACTGCTTGCTTGCTGTCTCATAACGGCCATGGATGCAAAACATATTAGTTTCCAGGGTTGAAAAAAGAAATCTTTTTTTGATAATATTTTAGCTTTAAATTTAAGTTATATCGCAGAAATTAACAAACCGACATTTTTACTAGAACTAATCGCTAAATATATCAGTATTGTTTGACATCATTTACACCGATTCAGAACCATTATGCTAGAGCAGTACTATCCCAAGAAACAAAAATGTTTCCAAGTCCAGCTTCAAGATCAATCCACTGCTCTTCCTCAATCTCAACCCCACCACCACCGCCTTCCACCGCCTTCACCTCCACCAAAACAAACAAGTCCGCCACCTGCACCACCTCCACCACCACCACCACCCTCCCTCTCCCCAATCCTACAACCCCTCTCTTCCCTTCCTCCACTCTATACCCCAATCTATCCCCAACTTCCCTAATCCTCTCCATCACCCCATCAAACTCCATCGAACTAGTGATATACCTCTTCTCCTTCCTCGTATCATTCCCCCCTTTGAATAGCCCCGACAAATCCAACCCCGACGACAACGATATTATGTCGAAAGCGTTAACCCCGTTACATATCATTTCATGTTTTAACTTCCTGTCGTGTAACAGACTCTCCAGCTGACTGTTTGATGATGATTTCGTTAAAGTTCTCTTGAACCATGAAGTTTCCATTAACCTTGTTAAGCTCATTCGGGTCACCGGATTCGGGTCAAGAAGCTGCCATATTATAGCCTTTGCTGGCTTTGATATCCATGCCGGAAACTGAAACTCCCTACGCTGGATCTTTTTGTACATGGAGACCAAGTTACCGTCATCAAAGGGTAAATAGCCTGCCAACAAAACAAACAAAATTACCCCGCATGACCAAGCGTCCGCCTTGGAACCGTCGTAGCCTTTTCTCCGAACAACCTCGGGAGCTGTATAAGCCGGTGTTCCGCAAGCTGTGTGTAAAAGTCCGTCGTTTAGTTGTTCAGGTAGAGCGGACAGACCAAAGTCTGAAACTTTGAGGTTTCCGTTTTGGTCTAGTAAGAGGTTTTGTGGCTTTACATCGCGGTGTGCAACGCCGTTTTCGTGACAGAAATGGAGGGCGGAGATCAGTTGGGAGAAATAGCGACGAGCGGCGGGTTCAGCCAAGCGGCCGCAGCGTAAGACCTTGGAGAAAAGTTCACCTCCGGAGGCTAGTTCCATGACAAGGTAGATCTTCGTCTTTGTGGCCATGACTTCGTGGATTTTCAGGATGTTCGGGTGGTGTTGTAGGCGGCGCATGGCGGAAACTTCCCTGATTATTCTCGGTTCCATCGCCGCATCGACCGTTTTCGTCTTGTCTATGATCTTGACGGCCACGATGGTGTTGTCGTCCTCGAGTGAAGATGCTTCGTGTACTTTTGCGAAGCTTCCACGACCCAACAAACGACCCAATTGGTACTTACCTAAGAGTATTCCGGCTGGTGTTTTTGTACGGGTGATTTTCAGTGGCGGTGGAGGTGATACCGGTGGTGTTTCTTGGGACGGCGGAGACTGCGGTGATACTGGCGATGGAAGTGATGGTTCAGCCCCTGACGGCATGGTTTATAGTGGTGGAAACTGTGAAGCTGGAGAAGGAGCGTGCCACGACAAGGATTATTTAGAAGGTGTGTTGGTTTAAGTAATGGAGGCTTCGATGATAAATTATTATATTAATAATAAAATAAATATAATAATGATTCATCATACAAAAATAAATATAATAAAAATATTTGAAGGAAAATAAAATAATAGTAATTTTTTTAATATGACTTTAGTATTGAAGAATAAATACACTCACTTCAATGATCGGATCTTAACATAAGTACAAGACCACAATATTTGCAAAAGAAAACGACAAAGGAAAAATCTTAACATTAATTCAACATTGAATTATTTGAACTATAAGTCAATTCACTCAAATATATGGTTAAAAACTCATTTATATTTGAAATAAGGAACCCTAGCCGCTCTCCTCCCTTTTTTTTAGTTTAGTTTATACAGATTTCTATAAATCATATCAATTTTTTATTCTTTGATTTTGTTTAATTGGCGGTATACTAATTTCGATGTTAGTTGTTGATCGTCGATTTTCTTCTCTCTTTGTTTCCTTTTTAGTTTCTTAATAAGAATAATTATACTTTTTGACACGTTTTTTCTTTATTTTTATGTCACATTTGTAATTCAATTGATCTTCCCTATTATAAACCCTTGAATTGAATTTGGATACGCGATTTTGCAATCGTGGATAGTGTCTCACGACGTTCGGCTCTGATTTAGAGTTTTCAATGGTCTTTCAATAGTTTAATCATCTCTTCTAGTTCATTTGTTGATGCAGTCATGTTTGATTTATTTTTTGTTCAGGTATTTTGGTTAGGTTTTTAACCATTTCCATATACGCTCTTATATAATCTAAAGTTTATGATGATAATTGTTAAACTTTATTGTAATTTTGAATATTCACTTTTTAATAAAACTAACGACTCATATTAAAAAAACTCATTATTGTAATCGCCATTTTTTATCATTACAATCGGGCCTCAAGCCCAAACCAAACTAGCCCCAATTACATCATACTCAAATCGAAGCCCAACCACCTGGCCCTGATGAGACCCACTCCGGCTAGGGTTTGTCACCCTTAGCCTAGCGCTGCCAAGAACCATAACCGTCAGATCTGGACCCATCAACGGTCCAAATCAAGTCCTCTGTCGCCGCCCATCTCCACCAGTCGGTTGCCATCGTTGCTGCCACCAACCGAGACATACAGTGTCAGAAATCATTAATCAAAACAAGCAACAAGACCACAACCAAATCCACATGCAAAATATGTTTTTTTGTAATGATTTTATAGAGGAAAAATGAGAAAAAAATGTAAACATAGGCTTATAAAGACCTGAACAAAACTTGTAAAGATGGGGTTCCTCCCCTCTCAATTTTTTTGTGGAGGAAAAGCAATACAAAACAAGAAACCCCATTTTTAGGTATATTTTATTTGTTTTTTTACATGAAAATATTACCTTGCATGTAAAAGTATAATAGAGAGAAGAATAGATCGAGTGTTACTTGAGTCACCGGGGGGTTTCGTCTTCGTCAGAGGTCGCGGAGCGTGAGAAGGTCGAAGCTTTTCGGAGCTTTTTGGGCTTATTTAAGGTCATTTTAGTCTTAGGTTTGTGTATAAGGTTGTAGATCTAGGTTTAAGGGTCATTTCAGGCTGATTTGGAATTTTCGGCTACCGAGTGCGGCGGTCGGAGCGACGGTTGGCAGTGGGCCAGCCGAGAGGCTTTGAGTGAAAATCGAGAGATAAGATATTTTTTTTTGAGAAAACAGGTGAAAATGAAAAAAAATAATAAGTTTGTATATATAGAGTGGGTTAAGGGGAAATTATGCTTAGATCCCTTAGCTTACGCGCGTTTTTATAAAATAACCACTGATTTTATGATTTACCAATTTTTACGCATGATATATTTATCTGGTAAATTTATTGTTTAGTCTCTGTAAGTTAGGCGTGTTTTTACACTTTGGTCATGTGTAGTGACCTTTTAATTTTATTTTAATTTATGTGGACTGATTTTGTAATTTTTCCTTTTTTGGTTTAACAGATTATTTTTAGGCTTAAATAAATTGGAAAATTGCCAGTAGGTCCCTTTAATTTTCTCGTGTTTTTGTATTTTACTCCCTTTACTGTTTTTATTTTGTTTAGATTTAGCCCTTACATTTTAATTTGTTTTAATTTAGCCTCCTATTATGTGTTTAGCATATTTATTTTAGCTTGGTAATTTAATATTTATGCAATTTGGTCCTTGTGCATGCTTAATTTATTTTTATTTTTATGTTGTTTTTTATGTTTTTTAATTTTTAATTAGATTGTTTAAAAAATTCATTGTTTCATAGTTTGAACCTTTAGACTTAGTTCTTAGATTAGGTTAACATTTGAGTCGAGCTTAGAAATTAGAATGACACTCTAGTTATGAATTAGAGAGCAATTTGAGTCGAGTTTTCGCATAAGATGACAGATTACTCGAATCGATTGCTTGATTTTTTAAAACTTATTAATAATTAATATTTTCTAAAAAAAATTTAGGTTTAATTCCCTTTTAATAGGTTAATTTAGATAATAATTAGGCTTTTGATTTGTTAATTAGTCCTCAACTTTAGAAATTAGTGATTTAGTTCATTAAACTTTTAATCTTTTGGAACACGATATTTTAGATCTTTGACCTTTTAGTCCCCGAACTTCAATTAGACCTTTAAGATTGACATAATCAAATAGGTTAAATAGAGCCTCTATTTTAGCTAGATTTCAATATAGTACTATTAATTTAGGGAATAATTCGAGTCAGCCCTCACTTAAATGCTCGAGGGACCATCTCGGTTATTCGATTCAATAATTGGTTTTAAAATCAAATAGGGTTAATATTAGATCCTACACTTCTAGGTTTGTGCCTTTAGGTTCTTTAAATTTTATAATTTGACACTTTAGGATAGAAAAAGCCTTAATCTACCCTTAGCTTAGTTAGGAAGAGTAAAAATTTGTCTGATTGCATTTTATTTTCAAACCTAAGGCAATGTTCACTTATTAGGAAATTAATGGTATATCTCCCGCAAGTATGCTCAATGGATGACTACTGGTAATTCCCAAAATAGGTCGACATCATTTTCAAAACCGCATCATGTTTTCTGAAATTAAGCCAATGTCCGATACAACCAACTTTACATATAAATTTTTTTCATAATAAATCTCCAATCATTAGACGATTTTCGACTCCAGTGCAACCAACTTTACATATGAAAGACGCACCCTTTACAGAAGATGATGTTCCTTCAATGACAATCTTCTTTGCCATTTTAAATAGAGAATTGAAAAAGAAGAGAAACATTAAGGATTCAAGAGTGTGATTCCCAAAAGGCTAAGAAGACTGAGAAGACGATATTTGAAAAATCATCATCAAGCCCCATCACCTTCTTAATTAAACCCCTTCTTTATCATCCTCTTCAATAGAAAAACATTAACCAATGATCATTCTTTCTTCGTAGTGGCTCTTTGATCAAATTAGAAAGGATATATCACCCATGACCAACAAACTAAATTTATTCTCATCAACATTACTAAATATATTCAATGTGAGATTTAAATTAACATTTAATGTTTAAGTTGTTAGTTAAAAGATTTGATTGATAAATTTGAGGGCGAAGCCAAGAATTTTGAATTAAGAATCTAAATAAAATTTATAAACTTTGAGGTTCAAAATTTATAAAAAAATGTTTAAAATATTTAAATTGAAGATAAATTTTTAAAGGAAAAAAAAACTCATTGCGGCAAGGCCCTTGCCTGAGCCACCCTTGACTTCTTCCTCCAATACAATATTAACATTTTAAATACTTAATTATAATATTTATAATTTTATCTAAAAATGGTCACAATTTTACTTTTTCTTAATTTTCTTAGCTAACTTAAATTAGGAGTCACATTATTTTTGGTTTATTTTGACTTCACTTTTTCTATTATTTTAATTTATTATTATTAATATATTATTATTTTTATCGTGCTTAGATCTAAATATATATATCACCGAGTCCAACGTTAAAGTTGCAAGTTTCTTTCTACTTGTTGACCTTCCTTTTTGCTTTTCCTTTTAATAATTTCATTTGTTTTTTAAGAAATAACTTTTTGGGGTTTAGTCTATTAATTATTTAGGAATATAATAATTCATGTTGTTAATCACTTAGTTTAGTGTAGATTACACCCCATATCTTTATAATTTTTCTTTTTTAATTTGAGAAGATATTTGATTTAATGTGAAATGAGATTAAATAAAAAAACAAATTTAAATTATTGAATCGTCTCTTATCATTATTTTATGTGTTAAATTATGAATGTTTATTAAAAGATCAGAAGAAATATAAGATATAATATATAAAAAGAGGGAAAAAATTAAAGAAACTATCTCGTATAATTAAGTTTCAACAACATGAAAAAGGGAACATAATCCCTTTGATGATTCATTTTTCAATAAGTTAAAATGGTCCTCTGTCTATATCAGAATGGATAAATTCTAACTGATCGATCAACTAATAACTATTCTCAATTTATTTGACTACCTTAAATTATCACCCCACATGTTATACATTAAGAATTATAACTTTTATTATATATGAATTTTACCTTGTGTATTTATTAGTTACATCTTACCTCATGTATATTAATTGAATTATGTTATTTAAAATAAACTCAAAGACAGTATTTAAACACTTATAAAATACTAATTTTTAACTAATACGAAGTTTACTTCTTTGTATTATCACCGAAAACATGACATTTTGGTCACCTAAAAGTTAATACACATACGTGCATGTTCTAAGGTTTACTTATGTAATGGATGGATTGTTCAACCAATGGAAAAGATTGAGATGTGGAATCGATAAAGTTGATTATTTGATTACTTTAGTTTCTTAATTCAATTTTGCTAAAAACATCTTCTAATTTAGCGCTTCCAAAACAATATATATGAAAAGACCAATGATATTATCAAAAAGACTAAGAAACGAAAAGCACTTCCACCAACAAGTAAGACCTTAATGCCACCAATATATACATTTATATATTA